TCTAGGAGAATAACAACTCTGAATTCAAAGTCTGCGGATGTTCGTTTGGGATCTTGTGGCACGTAGTGCACCAGGTCTGTATTCGGCCCTTCAAAAAGTGTGGAGGATTCGGCACAAAACCTTCAGGACTATAATCAAAGCACGTGTGATTGTAGGGTTGTCGGTTCCTAGGAACTGAGCTGCTTCAACCTTATACTTCGAATACTAAGAGTATAATATATATATATATATATATATATATATACATTTTTGTTTATACATTCTTTTTATAGATACAAATATTTAAGTAAATCCTCTGTTTATAATAAACAGTATTAAACATTATTTATCGGCCTTAATTTCAGAGAAATATTCATAGAAAATATGCATCTTCCAAAAATGTTTTTCTATGAAAATTTCTCGGACATTCAGGACGATAAAAGTTGTTAATACTGTTAAGATGATATATTTTACAACATTTAAAATTTTTGTTTAGACCTTTCACAAAAAAAAAAAAATAATTAAATAACTTAGTAACGATTACGTGTTCCGTAAACACTTAAGGTCGGAGTAACACCGATTGTACAGCAGTTGTAGTGTGTCTGATGAAGTCCAACCCTTTCGAGGCTGATCTAAATTCAAAATTTCCTCTCCTGGATAGATTGTTAAACAGGTTTATAGGAACTCGTCTGTTATTTGTCCATAGCTGAGTAGAGAAGAGATTGATTCATACCTTTCTCTCAGGTTTTCTTACGTAAGTGAATGTAAGGTACTTGACTGTATTTCGAACTCGAATCTCTGATTTCTCATCCCGAATTTCTATCTACATCCACAATTCTTTAACAGTTACTAATAACATGTCAATTTCTCCTATTTCTTATACTATATAATCGGAGCGAAATTTCAATTCGTTTTTTTTTTTTTTTCTCACTATTGACTCATTTCTCAAGTTAAGGAAGATTTCTGCTTGAAAATTTAAAATTATATCATTTAAAAATTTAATTAAGTTGAATTGCAGTCGGTCCTTTTTCTTTTTCTTGGATGGTCGGGTACTAAACCAGCCCCTCAGTACCTCTCCTTTGGGTTCACCTAGGATGGAAATTAAGACCTATCAAGAGGCGGAAGAACTCCTGAGACAAATAATGAAAGGTGGTTATTGGGACACCACTTTGTTGACTCATCAAGGATTCTTCCGCTTCCGGATAGGTCCTAGGCTCACTAAGCGGAGGCAAGGGATAAACACTACACTATAACTCCCAAAACAAATCACGGTTATGCAGACGATAAAAAATAACATGGATGAAGCGTGCGGACTACGAAAATGTTTTAAGGAAAATTGCAACGAATAAAACGCTTGTAGTTAGAATCAGAAAGAAACTCATGAGGAAGAAACAGGACTTGGCGAATATGAAACTCACGGGCATGCTGATGCCAAGAGGATAGCAGAAATTAATATATCAAACGAGTTTGTGTAAATTGATGACGGAACAGAGTCTAGAAGTGATTTTAATTGGACAGATATTGACTACAGCTAAAAAAAAAAAATGATACGATTTTTAGAAAGCCACGATCGTCCACGCCCTGAATGTATAAGGCATAATAAAAATAAACTTCATTCAAAAAATCGCTTTTAACTGTTTCGCGCCAACTGTCAAATCAGCTTGCATTTTAACAATTGTTGTCATTTCGTATAATTCTGTTAATCATTCTAACAAGGAGGAGACAGATATTCACATATTATACATTTCAATTTTAGGATAGTAAAAAAAATGCATCTCAAAAAGCTAAAATAATTGCAGTGTTCGTGGAAAAATTACTTTGGAACGTTTCAAAAACTGTTCACAAAATTACATGAAGAAAGTTTTCGTCAGTCGATCGACGGTCGAGTTGAATTGTTATGATTCATCGCAGTCAACACATAGCTTTATTGAAAAATAATCAACGGTGTACAACGCAAAAGATAATTAATGCACACGAAATATCCAATTCAAACTAAGATTAGCAATTAAAGCAGATTGGCTATGTTATCCGCGTAAATTAACGATAAGTGCTATAAAACCCGTTGCCATTTTTTATTATGTCAACGTTGCCACTTTTGTGATGTCACCGAATACTCGTTGTCACTTTCGTAATGCTCGTTGTAGTAGAGACTTTGTAATCACAGTTACAACTATAGTAACGCCGTTGAACAATACTGGTATCAGACGCCTTGGAATAACATTTGTACTAATAGTACTTGCTCGATAATACTCGTTCTAATAGTACTCTTGTAGCGATCCGAATAGAGAAATAGTACAGTAATTAGAGTAGAGAATAACGGTCCGTAAATTAATAAATAGAATGTAAATAGCAGATCCATCTAGACGTCACGCGACTTCGTATATATGCGTTTCTCTATGGTCACGTGATCCATTTAATTCAATAATGGGATCGCCTGTGTTTGCTCACTGACGATCTATGTTCAAATTCAAGTGTCGGCAGCGACACTTTATTCCTTTAAAACACCTTTGTACACAACTACAAATTGTGATATATATATATATATATATATATATATATATATATATATATATATATATATATATATATATATATATATATATATATATATATAAATATATGGATATAAATCCGACAGTATGAAAGAAAAATACAGAAAAAACAAAATTCTGAATATGCATTATTAATGTTAAAATAAAGTCGACGTCGGACGTTTCCAATAAGGTCTATTTAAGACCATCTTCATGGACATTTTCTTTTAAACATAATTAACATTATAACTTATAACAATTTAACACAAAAGACGATGGACATAAGAGCCTAACTAATTCAAACAGATAACTGAAATTTTATACAGATCAGCGTTCTGTTTAAATATGATCCCGTAGTCGTCACGTGGGCGATGTTGTTAAGACGTATTCGAAGATGATTTCCAAAAATTGAAAATTCCATTCCTTACTTGATCTATTATTCTCGTCCAAGCTTGAAATCTTTTGTTAAAATAAAGTCGACGTAAATATGATCACATAGTCGTCTTAATTAGTTAGGCTATGTCCATCGTCTTTTGTGTTAAATTGTTATAAGTTATAATGTTAATTATGTTTAAATGAAAATGTCCATGAAGATGGTCTTAAATAGACCGAAACGTCCGACGTCGACTTTATTTTAACATTAATAATGCATATTCAGAATTTTGTTTTTCTGTATTTTTTCTTTCATACTGTCGGATTTATATCCATATATTTGCTTACATACTGTCTACTGAAAATACAAACCTGAATTTACTTTATAACGTGGAAGATTTCAAGCTTGGACGAGAATATAATAGATCAAGTAAGAATGGAATTTTTTATCGAACTGTTTTTTAGAACTGTTGCATCGTTTTTTTAAATCATTTTGGATTTGCATTGTAACGGGAAGGACTTTCAAGCTTGTTGAAGATATAAGAACCAATTGTTTCACTACGTATTCCAACATCAACGGAAGAGATTTCTTTAACTTTTTATAAAAAATTTTCAATCGACTTTTTGATATTTTTTAATTTTTTTTGGAAATCATCTTCGAATACGTCTTAACAACATCGCCCACGAGACGACTACGTGATCATATTTAAACAGAACGCTGATCTGTATAAAATTTCAGTTATCTGTTTGAATTAGTTAGGCTCTTATGTCCATCGTCTTTTGTGTTAAATTGTTATAAGTTATAATGTTAATTATGTTTAAATGAAAATGTCCATGAAGATGGTCTTAAATAGACCGAAACGTCCGACGTCGACTTTATTTTAACATTAATAATGCATATTCAGTATTTATGTTTTCTATATATTTTTCTTTCATATATATATATATATATTTACCCACATTCAAAGCATGTGCATGAATATTTTTATGACTCTTTACCCGCACGCTATATAAATAGGGCAGGTACGGTTTTTTGGCGTGTGAAGTTTCCAGCAGTCAGCTCTGAGAATCAGACCGAACATTCTTGCTGTAACACTCACGTTTGTATGTTTGTATTACGGTTTTTTGTCAATATCTTTGTTTAACTCTATTCCTCACTTGTATCTTTAATTCTGGCCCTAACAAGGCCACAACATATTTTCAGCTTTTTTTCCGAGAAAAAATACAAATGATTCGAACATGTACTGCGTCAAATTATTCTCCCCCACCACTTCTCCCACAACTACAATTACAAAGAATTGAACTAAACTTAACAAAAAATGTTTTACAACTACTTCTAAAACAATAAAAGACTCGATTAATACAAAATAAAATAAGATAAAACTGCAAGGATGAATTTAGTCTATCACTTCTAATAATTGCCACAAATAATACATAGGCGAAACCTCAAGGAATTTAAATAAAAGAGTGTATGAACACAAAAGTGATTTTTTTACAAAAGGATGCATTCAATTCAGTAGTAGCTCGCCATAATAACTTTGAAAAATAATTTTAAGTAAAAATGCTACTCCAATTAAAAGAAAGCAATGTACTAAGATAAAAAATGTATAGAAAGTGCTTTAATCGCTCGATCATTCTCAGTAAATTTACGTCAAGGTTCTCGCAATGTTTCCCCATTCTTGACAGACCGACCATTATCAAAATGGTTGATATTTAATAACAAAAGTTGTAAAAAATAAACAAAAAGAAACTAAATGAAATATACTCTATACACTATGTACCCTCTTTCTCTAGGACGTTAGTGATCATGGCTCTCTACAATTTCCTGTTTTTGTAGCCCTTAAAAACTGTTTAGATATATCTCCTAAAACCTGCACCGCCGTCCATTCACTCAAACTTTCCAGGTAGATTATGCGTTGCTTTCCTCTTGTCCTCTTACCTTTAATCTGCCATGTGAGTATCAAATTTTCTTATTTCTCCTTTCTTACTATGCGCCCTACAAAGTTCAACTACAGTGCCTTCCGGATGTTCTACATAGGTGTCTTTTTTTTTTATTGCCATTGTCTCTAGAACATCGTCGTTGCTGAGCATCCTCTCTAGAACCAGATTTCTACTACTTCAAGTCACTTCTTCATCTGCAATGAGTTTACCAGATAGATAGATAGATAGATAGATAGATAATGAATTATGTAAGGTTACCTGCGTTTAATATTCCATAGGAGAACATCGGCATTCAACGAGAAATAAAAATAAATAAATACATGCATACATATCTGTGTGCTGGTGCGCATAAATTGAAAGGAAGTGACAATAAGTGTAATATCCTATAAGATAGATAGATAGATAGATAGATAGATAGATAGATAGATAGATAGATAGATAAAGAATAGATTGATATAGTAGGCACAAAGATACATAGTTCAGAATAGACTGAGATAGATAGATAGATAGATAGATAGATAGATAGATAGATAGATATATAAGGATGGACTGAGATAGATAGATAGATAGATAGATAGATAGATAGATAGATAGATGAATAGATAATAAGGATGGACTGAGATAAGAATAGATAGATGGATAGATAGATAGATAGATAGATAGATAGATAGATAGATACAAAGGTGCACAGATAAGAATAGACTGAGATAGATAGATAGATAGATGGATAGATAGATAGATAGATAAGAATAGACTGAGATAGATAGATAGATAGATAGATAGATGGATGAGATAGGATGGACTGATATATAGATAGATAGATAGATATGAGATAGATAGATACATACATACATACATACATACATACATACATACATACATACATACATAGATTCAATGTAAATTCACTAAGGACACTAATAGATCTTTTCGAAACGGAATTCTTGCAGAGAAGCTAGTGATTTCTGGAAAAGCTCAATTCGAAAATTGGCTACGATCTCTTGTTGCAAAATAGCAGGATATTAACACGCCTATGCGTCAACAGTATTTTTTTTTATATCACTCCGATCAAAGTAGAAAACAAAGCAGTGATATAAAAATGTCGAAAAAAAGATAAACGTGTTATTAAGGAAAGGGAGAAATGAAAAATATTCTTAAAAGTCATCTTGGAAAATGGTGATTGTTCGTTCTTCATAGCATTTATTTTGATTTTTACGAGAAATGGAATTATCTGGATTTTTCATCACATGAAATGATTATTATTGTCTGTATTCTTTCATCTTTTTCTTTCCCATTTTCCACTGGATCTGTCCTTTTAGAACTCTTGTTTTTTTTTTCTTTAGGAGATTTATTTATTTATTTCTAAGTTTTTTTATTTTATGTTTTTATTTAATTACTTATTCAGTTTCTTTCACCCTTCCTTCTTCCCTTTCTTATTTATTTACTTATGTATTTATTGAATTCATTCTTAACTTATTTATTTAACGTATGTTCATTTATTTAATTCCTTATTTATTCAACTCTTTCATTTCTCTTCTTTAATTTTTTCTTGAATTTATTTACTCATTGATAGATTATTTCTTTCTTCTGTATTCATTTTATTTAATTCTTTCCTTCTTTATTTATTCATTCATTTTTCAATTTTTCCTTCTTATTTTCTTTCTTTTATTATTTAATTTCTTTCTTTATTAAATTTTTCATTCTTTATTTATTTTATTAATTCCTTCTTTTTTCTTTCTTTATTTATTCATTCATTTTTCAATTATTTCCTTCTTTCTTTCATTACTTAATTTCTTCCTTCTTTCCTTCTTTATTTATTCATTTTTTCCTTCTTTATTTATTTAGTTAATTTCTTCCTTCTTTTTTATTTATTTAATTCTTTCTTTCCTTCTTTATTTATTCATTTGTTTTTCATTTTTTCTTTCTTTCTTTCATTATTTAATTTCTTCTTTCTTTCCTTCGTTATTTATTTACTCATTTATTCAATTTTTTTTAATTTTTTCTTCTTTATTTAATTTTATTCTAATTTCTTTTATCTTTCTTTCTTTCTTTCTTTATTTATTTATTTATTTATTTATTTATTAAATTCTTTCCTTCCTTTATTTATTTACTGAATTGTTATTTATTTAATTCCCTTTTTCTTTCTTTTTTCTTTCTTTCTTTCTTTCTTTCTTTATTTATTCAATTTTTTTTCTTTCGTCCTTTAATTTCATCCTCCTTTCTTTCTTTCTTTCTTTCTTTCTTTCTTTATTTATTTATTTATTCATTCATTTATTCAATGTTTCTTCTTTCTTTATTTAATTTCATCCTCCTTTCTTTTTTCTTTCTTTCTTTCTTTATTCATTTATTTATTTATTTATTCAATTCTTTCCTTCCTTTATTTATTTACTGAATTGTTATTTAATTCCCTTTTTTTTCTTTTTTCTTTCTTTCTTTCTTTCTTTCTTTATTTATTTATTCAATTTTTTTTCTTTCTTTCTTTAATTTCATCCTCCTTTCTTTCTTTCTTTCTTTATTTATTTATTTATTTATTTATTCAATTTTTCTTCTTTCTTTATTTAATTTCATCCTCGTTTCTTTTTTCTTTCTTTCTTTCTTTATTCATTTATTTATTTATTTATTCAATTCTTTCCTTCCTTTATTTATTTACTGAATTGTTATTTAATTCCCTTTTTTTTCTTTTTTCTTTCTTTCTTTCTTTCTTTCTTTATTTATTTATTCAATTTTTTTTTTTTCTTTCTTTAATTTCATCCTCCTTTCTTTCTTTCTTTCTTTATTTATTTATTTATTCAATTTTTCTTCTTTCTTTATTTAATTTCATCCTCCTTTCTTTTTTCTTTCTTTCTTTCTTTATTCATTTATTTATTTATTTATTTATTTATTCAATTCTTTCCTTCCTTTATTTATTTACTGAATTGTTATTTATTTGTCTTTCCTCTTTTTAGAATCCTTTCTTTAATAAATTTATTTATTGATTGATTTTATTAAATCTGTTTCTTTCTTATTTAATTATATATTTAATTCATTCAATTAGTTCCTTTGTTATTTATTTACTTCATTTATTTATTTCATTTTTATTAATTAAATTCCTTCATTCTTTCTTCCTTAATTCTTTCTTCCTTTACCTATATATATATTTTTACAATACTTTATTAATTTAACCCTATTTCTATTATTCACTTCTATTTTTAATTAAAGTGCTTTTTTATTTATTGATAAATTTTAATTGATACTTTAATATCTAATTCAGTTACTTAAATGCAATTCCAAACACCATTTTCTATCTTTCTGCAACCTGTTCTTTTATTATTCTCGTCACTCAAGTCTTTTTATTCTTATTCACTACCCACCCCACAACAACCCCATGCGTCCTAGTGACATTATCGTCTTGTTTGGGGTGAAATGATTAAAAATCACATTTATTTCTGTCCATATTTTGTAACTATTTACATTATTTGGATTTTTTAGATCACTCAACCAATGGTTGTAGCTGTTAAAAATGATTTGGCCCAAAGTGTTGTGAGTTCAATGCCTGGCCGGAGTAGAAGGAACAAAAGCATAGAGAGTTGAGTTACCAAGGGGAATTATCTGAAACTGAAATATCCAAAACAATCTACCCCTGTGGACTAAATAAAGAGTTCGGTTCGAAATTCCAACAAATATCACCTGAAGAAGGCCAGAGCGTACAACAGCCGAAATGTCGTGAATATAGCAGTAAAGATGAGGGCAACTGTCTGAAAAATGTAAAAATAAGTAACTTTATTTCTTTAATTTTTTATTTAATTCTTCCCTTCATTATTCATTTAAATAATTCTTATTTCATATTTCATATTTTTATTCAATTATTTCTTTCTTTTTTTCATTGATACTTTTTTAATTTTTTTCTTTCTTTCTTGCTTTGCTTCTTTAATTATTTCCCGATTTAGCTATATATTTATACAATTCCTTCTTTCTTTAATTATTTTTAATTATTATTTAATTCCTTCTTTCTTTCTTAATTGTTTCTTTTTTTTGGGGGGGGGAATTCTTTCTTTCTTAATTTTATTCTCCTTTGCATTTGTTGGGAAGCAATCCTTTCAACTTTCTGACATGTTTTCGTATTTTCAATCAGATTTTTTCTCCTTTTACAAATAAGACGAATAGAAGCGAAACTTCACCGTAGGAGCCATGTTAAGCTAACACGTCTAAAACATTAAGTATCTATAATTTCTTAGCCGTTAACCTTCGTCTTTTTATGACATCACCTCTTTCTTTCTTTCTTTCTGTTATGGTCCGGTTCCTTGTACCACTGTGATAGTCCAAAGTAGAACCAATAAAGAAGAACTTGAATACGGATATGGAATAACACAGATATATTACAAACAGGAGTAGATACAGAGAAGTAGAAAGTGTTAGTATGAACAATCAGGTTTAGTAGTAATTGTCTGAACGCGATTCTGTTTCGGTCTGCCTCTAACTCGACTGACTGACTCGCTCTGACTGACTGACAGACTCCTGACGGACTTCACTCCAGACTTCAGACCGAACAATATTTAGTCACCCCCGCACGAGGGCATCATGTAGCACAGGGCCGGTTTAACGTGGGATCTCCGAGCCCGTGGGCTCAGCCAAAAATATGCCCTTTGAACCCGTATAAACGGGTTCAGGGTCGGTTTACCTCCCTGAAAATGACTCCGCCCTTCAGCGTAGCCTCGTTCGGGTTCCTCCCCGCCCGAAGGCAGAGAGTTCAACCGATCAGCCGGTCAGCCGGTCGCCCGACTTCAGACTGAACGGTATTTAGTCACCCCACTCCCCACGAGGGCATCACGTGGCACAAGGCCGGTTTAATGTGGGCTCGGCAAAAAATATGCTCTTTGAACCCGTAAAAACGGGTTCAGGGTCAGTTTACCTCCCCAAAAGAGACTCCGCCCTTCGGCGTAGCCTCGTTTGGGTTCCTCCCCACCCGAAGGCAGAGAGTTCAACCGATCAGCCAGTCGTCCGACTTCAGACTGACCTCCTGCTTCCTCTTGAGGCGCAGTATTTATTACGTATGGAATAGTCCATTATGTTATTATGGGTAAGGACACATAACACTTTCTTTCACTCTCTCTCTCTCTCTCTCTCTCTCTCTCTCTCTCTCGCTTTCTATATATATATATATATATATATATATATATATATATATATATATATATATATATATATATATATATATATATATATATATATTCATTCTTCCATTGGCTTGGGATTTATTACCGCTTCTTACGCTTCGCTCACAAACCAATCTTTCTTGTGAAACTATCTTCCTTCCAGATACGATTTGTTTTCATTCAGTTTCTTTCCCTCCCGAAACAATCGCTCGATATACAAAAGGATAATCAAAAAGAGAAAAAGTCGAAATATTATTTCAATGTCTTGTCGTACACCAGAATTTTGTACATTTCGCGTGATACGGAATTGCTTTTAACAAGGGAGACAACCACTCAAGAAGCTACAGCAAGTAAATCTATTAAAAATGTTCGAGATTGAAGCGGACTCATTTTGTTTTATGCTGGTGTCAGGCACGCCATGGCTAGTAATTATAAAATGTTAAAAAAAAACACAAAGAAAAAGACATAATGTATCTAAATCGTACATAAGAGTTGCGGAGGGCGTTAATCAACATCGCCATTAGTGTAATATGTCGACTTAGTCAGAGAAAGTTGTATGACGTGGTTGCAAGATGGCGGAATCCCACCTCAGCTATGTGACAAGTTTAAAGTGGCATCATGTCATTTGCATTAAATCGCTGTGTACATGTGGACGCAACTAAGGCACGTGAGAAGAGCTGCATAGATGTGACCACCGGGGAAGACAGAGGCAGTGCAA